TGCTAGAGTTGTCATCCGAAAGTGATGCATTAAAATAGTGTTTACCAATCTCTCACTTGCATCTTCCTCTCAAAAAGAAAAAGGGGAATAGTACCCAGTGGTGAAAGAAAAACCGGACAAACATTAAAAAATCACTGGAAAACAAAATCATCAATCCCCCACAGAAAATGCGTTCCTCGCCCTCCGAAACCAGACCTACATCTCAGAATCCTTGTCTCCATCGCCCATTTAATTAATTCCTCAAGAGACGTTCTCCGACCTCACCGCTCCCCTCCTTCCGCCTTCCCGCAGGTAAAAAGATCGACTGCATCACGAGCGTCGACTCGGCTTCCTTCAAGGACGTGGTGGACAACTACTGCTTCATCATGGGCACTTTCACGGTGGACAGGCTGCACGGGAAGCAAGTGGGGGTCCAGGTGCCCCATCCGGGTGTTGGGCCCTCGGAGCCCGACGACGAACTCACCTTCCACACGTACTACCAGTGGGTGCCGTTCGTGCTGTTTGCGCAGGTGATTGTCATGGGTGTGAATTTTAAAAATAGTTCGTGTTTCTTTGTGTCTTATCTTGAATCGGCATTGCAAAGTCTTTCACTCTTTAAGGATACGGTCTCACGAGCGCTTTTTTCTAGTTTGTGATATGATCCGCCATTCGAAGTTCCCCTGTGGGCGACTTCCCAAGTTGCTCAGTACACGGGGCGAACAGAACCAAACAAACATGGCGTCTTCGTTTCCCCGCGCGTCCCTCTTCGCAGGTTATTTGTCTTTTTTTATAGAAATGGAAGTTCAGCGATTACTAAACCGATCTATATGGGTTCTTTCGCTGTTGCAGGGAAGGAAAAGTGGAAGTATGTATTATTATCAACCGCAAGAGCTTCTTTGGAGGATAAATATAGGCAAGCTCTTATGAGGAACTTGGAACACGCTCACATGTAAACAATAATGACGTCACGGATACTCCCAAATCAATTTTCTTGTAGAAATAATAAACACATATGAAAAAATATAAGGGTATATAATACAGCTTCTATTCAAAAATCATAATATGTGAAATATATAGTGATAATTGTTATTTGTGCTACTGAATATTCTTTTCTTAACAGACATCGTTGAAAAAAAAAACTCGTGCATCTGCCGTGCAAAAAAGGTATCGAATACACAAATATATTAGAACCCAAATTCGAGCAAAGTGCAGTTCAAGAATACTACGTACGTTTTTATTATAAAAGAATACTTTCATGCCATAAAAGGCTAAACTAATTTTCTTAATGAATTATCCAGAATGCGAAATCACTAACTACAAAGTCTTCCCAAAACAGGGTACATTTTTTTTCTTACTTTCCGAACATTCTATCGCCACATATATATATATATATATATATATATATATATATATATATGTATATATATATATATATATATATATATATATATATATATATTATATATATGCTTTCTTTTTTGCGAATATATTATTAGATTTGTATTTGTTCCGTTCCTCTAAAGAGGAGCGAAAGGAATTTGGAATTTTGGAATTCTGATATTCACCCAATGGTAATATTTTTAAAAATTAGGAAAATACTTTCCTAGAAAACGGCCGACTGTATCTGTCTTCTTTATAATTATCCAGCGAAGATGCTTGTACATTTTATTGACAGATTACACAGACAAAACATTCAACATTTACGTATACATACATTTACGTACAAAGGAAATTCAACCCAACCGGGTATTTCACACAAAATAAAATCGCACACTATTTTTTTTCTTTCTTTTTTAGTATACTATTAAACAAACATCCTTGTACAAAGAAACCTCTACCCAACCAGATTTTCCACACAAACAGACAAACAAAAATCTCACATTATTTTTGACCTCCCAAGAGCCTCCTGTTCTACGCGCCGCACTGGCTGTGGAAGCAGTGGGAGGGCGGCCTCTTCAAGACGGTCATCCAGGACCTCTCCGTCAGGGACTACCTCGGCAGGGAACTGAAGCCGTATTTCAGCCGTGACGAAAGGTGCGTGTGTGTGTGTTTTTTTTTTTTTTTTTTTTTTTTTTTTTTTTTTTTTTTGCTTTTTTTTTCTCTCTCTCTCTCTTTCTCTAACACTTCAATGAAGATATGTTGGCCTACCGTTATTCTTTTTTTTCTTTTTTTTTTATTGTTCCCATCATTGTCTTCATTACCATTATTATTATCTTTACCTTTACCGTCATTATTAAGATCTCCATCATTATCCTTACCATCATCACCATCTTATTTTCTTCACCGTCATTGCTATGATCTTGATTATCATTATCCTCACCATTACTTTAGTCTTCATCATCATTATCCTCACTATCACCACCATCTCCATCATCATTATCCTCAACATCATCACCATCTTTATCATTATCCTCACCATCATCTCCGTCATCACCATCTTTATCATTATCCTCACCATCATCATAATCCTCATCGTCATTACTACAGTCTCCATTATCATTTTACCCTCACCATCAACGTCATTATCATTATCTTCACTATGATTAATCATCATCATTATCCTCACCATCATCATTATCCTCACCATCATCATTATCCTTTCCTCATTATCCTCCTCCTCATTATCTTCACATTCATCACCATAACCTTTCGCTCTCCCGATTCGTCACTCTATCTTTTATCACGGTTATCACATGTTCTCTGAATGAACAGTGCAGTTCTTCATTTCTATCTTGATTCTTCGACCCCAGAATCATATCAATTATCATATAAACATTATCCTCAACATATTTTTATTTTTTATTTTATTTTTTTCATTTTTTTCTTCTTCTTTTTTTATAATATTCGTTATCGTATTAGCTGTCTTTCTTCCTCCTCAGCGCGATATCATATCTTCCTTCTTTGATTGACAGTTCCTTCCCTATATCAAGGATGCAAAAACGCACACACAAGTAAATTCATTGGAAACAGAACATTTTACACACATGGTATAACCGCACATAAGCAACACCCAACCAAACTCGTAAGAAAAACGCACATACAGAAAACCCATAAAGATGCACATACATAAAACACAACCAAAAGACAACATAAAAACGCACATAGAAAAACAATAAAAACGTACATACACAACACCCATAAAATCCATAAAAACACACATAAAAAAAACATAAGAACACATACAAAAAAACATGAATACGCACATACACAGAACGCATAAAAACGCACATACAAAAATAAGCAAAAACATCAAAAAACGCACAAAAAAAGACGCACATACACAAACCCCTTCCCCCATCCCCCCCCCAACCCCCAATTAAAAATCACACAAGAAACCAACCCCCAACCCCACCGACCCCTCCCCCCAATCTAAACCCCCAACCCCCACACTCAATCTAAACCCCCCCAACCCCCAATCAACCCCCCCCCCACTCAATCTAACCCACCCCCCCCACTCAATCTAAACCCCCCCCCACCACCCCCCATCTAAACCCCACCCCCCCCCCACTCAATCTAAACCCCCACCCACCACCCCATCTAAACCCACCCCCCCACTCAATCACCCCAACCCCCCCCAATCTAAACCCCACCCAACCACCCCCTCCCCTCCCCACAGGTACCGAGCGCTGTCTTCGTACCTCCAGAACCACATGGACCAGCACAAGCGTTGGTTCTATCGGTTCTTCTTTTGCGAGGCCCTCAACCTGGGCGTTGTGCTGTCCACGCTCTATTTCACGGACTGGTTCCTCGACGGGGAGTTCCTCACGTACGGGACGAGTGTAAGTTGCTAGTTTGGGCGCCCAGGAAAGTTTTTTTTTTATAAGTTGCTAGTTGGGGCCCCATGAATTTTTTTTTTGTATAGTTGCTAGTTTGGGCGCCCATGAAGATTTTTTTTTTTTTATTATTATTATTATTATTATTATTATTATTATTATTATTATTATATTATTATTATTATTAATATTATTATTTTTATTATTATTATTATTATTATTATTATTTATTATTATTATTATTATATTATTATTTTGGAAGTCGCTAGTTTGTACGCTCATGATTTTTTTTAATGTAAGTTGCTAGTTTGTGCGCCCATTATTATTATTATTATTATTATTATTATTTTGTAAATTGCTAGTTTGTACGCCCATGATTTTTTTTATGTGTGTGTGTGTGTTGCTAGTTTGTGCGCCCATGATTTTTTTTTGTGTGTGTGTGTGTTGCTAGTTTGTGGGCCCATAAAGTTTTTTGTAAGTAGTCTAAGTAACTAGTTTATAGCGGCCTTGATTATTTTTTTACTTTGATGTGCATGTGGATAATTTTCGTTGATTTTCTGGTTAGTGTGTATATTGACGCTTTTCTAGATTATTAATTTAGTGTGTGTTTTTTTTATTGGGTATCGTGTATTTAATTTTATTATGTATGTTATATAGTATAGAAGCAGTAATGTTATAAACACAATGCTGCTAATGATGATGATAATATTGATGCTAATGATAATGATGATAGCGATGATTATAGTAAAAATTATATAATAATGATACTGGTAAAATGTAATGATGATAATGATAGTAATAGTCATGATCATGATAATGATAATCAGAATAATGATGATAACAATAATGATAATCAAAATAATGATTGTAATAATAATCATAATAATAATAATTTTACTATAATTATTATATCCATAATCATAATAATAATATGATGTTGATAATAAAAAAGAAGATAAGAATGATAATAATGATATCAATGGTGTTCATTACAATCATTACTATGATGATCCTTATTCATCTTAATAAACGATAATAACAATAAGGATAATAACATATACATCTGCGCTAATAAAATGATACAAATCATAATGATGACAATAATGATAACAACGTTAGAAATAACAACAATCTCAATAAGGATAACAACGAAGGCCCAAAATTGTAAGAAACAGAAAAAAAAAACATCAGTAATGAAAGTCCTCACATACAAATATAGCATTATCATCGCACTCAATTCAAAGGACTAACGACACGAGTATAGCACTCTCATCGCCCTAACGACCCCACCTTCACCTTCCCTCCGCAGGTGATCCAGGTGGCCGGCATGGACCCCGAGAACAGGACGGACCCGATGGCCTTCGTGTTCCCGCGGATGGCCAAGTGCACCTTCAGGAGCTTCGGCAGTTCGGGCACCATCCAGGTCCGTGACGTCATGTGCCTCATCGCCACCAACATCATCAACGAGAAGGTCAGTGGCTGTACTGAGTGTCTTTCTGTCTGTCTAAGAGTCTACGTATCTTTCTGCCTGTCTTGAGTGTCTTTCTGTCTGTTTGTGTCTTTTCTCTTGAGTGTCTGTCTTTCTGTCTGTCTGTGTCTTTTCTCCTGAGTGTCTGTCTTTCTGTCTGTCTGTGTCTTTCTTGAGTGTCTTTTTGTCTATCTTTCTGTCTGTCTTTAGTGTCTTTCTGTCTGTCTAAAGGTACTGTCAGACTACCCGTAAATTTCACGGGAATCCAGCGATTTTCTGTGGGCTGGAACCAACACGGGAAAGGCAAGATCAGTAGCAACTCGAGGAGGTGTCCATGACGTCTGATTTTGATGGTCACAAAAATTGCTATTCTATTTTTGGAAAGAAAAAACACATGTGGTTTATTTTTCAATTTAGTCTTTTCAATTTTCAAAAAGGATGCGAAATAATGGTTTTAATGGCTATATTTTCACTGGACAATCATCAAAATAGCCCTGTGGATGAGAAGAGTTGGTGATTATGTTTATGCATGAATGATTCTCAATTGGAGTTGCTCGCAGTGGGAGTCAAGCCATAGGCCTGTATTTTTTACTCTGAAGGAATTAAGTATACATACTTTTATTAATCCCTCCATGCACTAAATGAATGAGTGAAAGATATTTTATTTGTGTAGGATACCAGGCCAACAAGACTTTATGAAGTCAAATACGCCTGAAAAGCCATTGAAACTAACGCTGTTGGATATTGTATTAGATGTAAACATGAAACAAGAACATGTGCTATTCTAAAAATAGCCCGGTCTGGTCTCGGGAAAGTGTCTTTCTCAAGTGTCTTTCGCAGGATCAGAGAGGTTGGTATGTGATCAGGCCGATGCTTGATGGTGTAAAAGCACTCGAGGATATATGCATACATGTGGGCACGTGTGTGTGTGTGTGTGTGTGTGCGTGCGTGTGCCCTTAATGAGAAAGTAAGTGCAATGAAGTGGAGGGATTTGAAGAGACGAGTTGAGCTCGGGAAAATTGGTAATGTAAGCAATGTAAGAATGTATGTAGGCACTCAAGGCAATGTGCATATAAGTAAGTGCACGTGTGTGTTTCAGTAATTGTTTATGCCTGTGTGCGTCTTAAAGTATGCGTATGTGTATTTATATAATTATGTATGTGTAAATGTGTCTGTGTGTGTGTATTTATAAGTATGTATGTGTAAATGTGTCTTCTTGTGTGTGTATGTGTATTTACATAAGCATGTATGTGTAAATGCATGTCTTCTTGTATGTGTATGTTTATGTGTACATAACTTCCAGTATATGCATCATATAAAAAAAACACAGACATCGCGGAAAGGACAAGTACCTCAACCACAGCGCCCTCACCTCCCCCCCCCCTCCCGCCCCCCAGATCTACCTGTTCCTGTGGGTGTGGCTGGTTACCCTGACGGCGCTGACGGGGGCCTGGGTCGTCTACCGTCTCCTCGTTATGGTCTTCCCGTGTCTAAGGGTGGCTGTTCTTAAGGTAACTGGCTTTATAGAATGATGTTGTTGTTTTTTTTATATAATTTGCAAAATATTTGTATATTTTGATGTTGGATTATTCAGCATTTCATTTCTTGGTAATATTGGTTGTTAATTTCAAGCTCAACTTCAGACTTTCTCGGACCTATGTTTATACACACTTACATTTATATTTATATCTATAGTTATCTATCTACCTACCTCTCTAAATAGATATGTATGTTTACATATGCTTACATAAATATATGTACATATGATTGACCTCTGACCTGTTTCCTTCTCATTCCTCCTTCCACCACCTCCCCTCTCCCACCCACCACCTCTCCCAAACCCCTACCCCCCCACCCTACATCTCTATCCTCTCACCCACCCTCCACCCCTCCCTCACCTACCCCTACTCTCTCACCCCCTCCCCGTACCTTACCCAACCAACACTCCACCCCTCTCCCACCACTCCCTCCCCACCACCCCTCTCCCACCACCCTCCACCCCTCCCTCCTCCACCCCTCCCTCTCCACACCCCTACCCCGCTCACCCACCACCCACCCCTCCTCCTACCACCCTCCACCCCTCCACCCTCCCTCCCCCACCCCCTCACACCCCATCCCCACAGCTGTACGTGAAAAAGACCTTCCACTCCGACGTCTCCGCCATCATGAAGGAGTGCTCCCTCAGCGAGTGGTTCCTCCTCCTCAGCCTCGGGAAGAACATGGAGGTGACCGTCTTCAGCGAGTTCCTCCGCTTCTTCGCCAACGAGCAGAACAAGTCCACGGACACGATATGATGCGATGAAGGAGGGATTTCGCTCTGAGGGGAGGGAAGGGAGGGGAAGGATGGAGAAGGAGGGGGGGGAAGAGGGAAGGATGGAGAGGGGGGGAGGAGGGTGAGAGGAGAAGGGAAGGAGGGGAGGAGAGAGAGAGAGAGAGAGAGAAAGTCGGGAGGAAGGGACGAGGCAGAGAGGGGAAGCGTAGAGGAGGGAAGAGGAGGGAGAGAGAGAGAAGAGAGAGAGGTAAGGATGGAAAGGCGCAGAGAGAGAGGGGAAGGGAAGAGAGAGAAGGAGAAGAGGGGAGGAGGAGAGAGAGAGGGGGGGAATACCCATGCATGAATAGGAGAGGAGAGATATTGCCCTGTGGGGAAAGGTGCGAGGAGAGGGGGAAAGGGAGAGAGGGAAAGGAAAGAAGGGGAGGGAAGAGGGGAGATAAAAGAGAAAAGAAAGACGAGAGAGCGAAGACAAATAAAAGTAAATGAAATAGGATGAATCAGAAAGAGAGAGAGAGAGGAGATGATGGAAAGAAAATGTGAACACAAATCAGAATTTTTATACCTATTTTCCAAAATGTGTTAAAGGAATAAACCTAATCCAATGGCCAAAAATAAGAGTTTCTCAACAAAAGACCTACATATTCCCTTGTTTAGTTTTTAAAAATCCTGTTACATAAAGTGTTTTTTTTTTATATCAATCTATAAAATGTTCTAAATCCAAGAGACGATTGGAAAGACCAATAATATTTCCTTATCAACCGTTATCAGTTGTTGACAGAGAATTTGATAAGCGTTATGAACTCCTTGCCCTAATCACGATATCTGTTTATCGCGGTAACGGTCTTTTGATAACGAGACAGCTCGTTATTTGTAATATTCTCCTCGAGAAAGTCGGCCATTTTTAAAAGGTCGTGGAAATCCCTTCATTTCATTTGTGATATTGACTTTTTTTTCGAGAGTATCAGCCGGTTTGTTAGAATTGTGCGAGATCCGATCTATTGAATATCTATTATACGGACATGCCTCAAAAAATAATAGTACAATGCAATCTATCAGTCTAGATATTCATATCTACCGGACAGATAGATTAATAAATTTATATATATCAGATGAATAGAAATATATGCATTTATTTCTGTGTGTATGCATGACCGTTTTTGTGAATATTCGCACAATTTTAAGTGAACGTATATCTTTTTTTTTTTTTTTTTTTTTTTTACTTTGCGTGATAGATGTGATTTGTTTAGTTTTTCTTCAGGGTTTGTATTCTGAATACATGATATATATAATAACCAGAAAGATTGGTTGACAGGTAGATAATTGGTGGGTAGACGGATAGTTATGTATTGATTCGCTGATAGATAGTTTTAGATTAGCGTGTAGACAGATAAATATATATAGACTGATGCATAGACAGATAGATGTACATATATGTTAACAGACAGATGAAAGATAGGGAGACAATTGCTATACTAATAAACAAATAGATTTTGTTGAAAGAAATTTATAAAGAACTTACACGTTTTATAACTACAATCTGTAAAATGATAAGGCAATATGACATTTGAATCTAAAATTTTATGTCTATATCTATTTATGCCATTAAAACCATGCTTGATTTTTTAGACCACATTCTGATTATTATTTTTATCATTTTAAAGCTATGTGAATGATATCTCAATGATTATGGTGCAAATGTGTTGATGAAATACACGCTTTGTGTCTCTGTACATGTCTGTGAATAATAATGATAATCAAATATCTTTATAGAATCATTATTTATTGAATTACAACTATGCTTAAACGAAACGAGATTACAGCAAGCATCAAGCCAGCCTTTCCTTTTTACACCCGCACTCAACACACACAATCCACACCCACGCCCATTGCCCCGCCCACATCCACCCACCATCCCACGCCCAATTCTCCCCCCTAGCTATGGGGCAGCGTCGGGTAGAGTTTCTCGGCGGCGGGGGCGGAGGGGTCCCGCGGCCGGTACGTGCCCAGGCCCGGGGCGCTGGCCAGGTACCGATGCCCGGCCTCGGTGATGCCGTTGAGGACGTCCCGGAAGGCCAGGGGGTTCAGGTTGCGGCCCAGGGCTTCCAGGAGGCAGAAGTCCCCCGCGTGCATGCCCCGGATCACCTGCTCGGACCGGGGGGAGAGCTTGCCCTTGGCGTGGCTCTCCACCAGGCGGAGGCGCAGCAGGGGGCTGTACAGGACCAGCAGCTGCCAGATCAGCTGGAAGAGGGACGAGAGAGGTAAGGGAATCTGCGGCGCTTCTCGAGTCCGATTCCTTGCTCTTTCACGGTGGCAAAGAGTGGACTTTTTGCTGTTGTTAGTGTTGTTATTGTATTAGAAATAGGATTATCTTTCTTCTTTTCATGCTCAACAGTATTATGATCATCATCATATAATTACATTTATAATTACATAATATATTTCCAAAATCATATTATCACCATTACTATTATCCCAGCCAACGTCATTATTTTCATCCTTATATGCATTATCATAATCATCATCATCGCCATCATCACAATCATTACTATCATTTACGAATTATAAAAGGCTTTCTCAGAGATAAAACAAAAAGAAAACAAAACCAAATAAACACCGAACATCCATCCCAGAAGCAAAAGAAGAAAAAAAGAAAACAACAATAAACAAAACAAACAGAAAACAAAACAAACAAAACAACAAAAAAACAAAATCAAAACCCACCTGCATGGCCGAGAGCGTCAGCAGCACCACGAACCAGAACCACATGACGAGGAACACCTTCTCGTTAACAATGTTCTGCGGGAGGATGCACAGGTAGTCCAGCCTTTTGATCGTTCCCGAAGCTCCGTACTGGTGGAACGTGCACTTGGCCTGGCGGGGGAAGGCCTCGTACAGAGCGTCGGTCCGCGCAATGTCGTTGGAAAACAGGAATTGGATCACCTGGAACGAGAGAGAAAAGGTAAGGAAAAGGGGTGAGAGGGATTCTTGGAATGATGAGAGGGAGAGGAGGGAGAGAGAGGGAGACAGACAGAGAGAAGAGAGATGAAGAGAGAGGAGAGAGAAGAGAGGGAGAAGAGAGAGAGAGAGGAGATAGAGAGAGAGAGAGAGAGAGAGAGAGAGAGAGAGAGAGAGAGAGAGAGAGAGAGAGAGAGAGAGAGAGAGAGAGAGAGAGAGAGAGAGAGAGAGAGAAGAGAGAGGGAGGGGAGAGAAAGAGACATTGTTTTCGATTAATTCATTTACACGCGATGGAGGAGGGAGGGATGCGTAATTAAATCGAAAAGAGAAGGGAGAGAGAATAGAGGAGATTAATGAGATGCAGAAAGGATGGCGAGCAGGAGGCTGAGGCGACGAAGAAAATGAAAGCAAATGGAGAAGGAGGTGGAGGTGGAGGTAGAGTAAGATGAGAAGGAGGAAATGGAGATATAAATAAAGGAGGACAACGACACTGAAGGCGATGGAAGAGGAGGTAGAGGTGGAGGTGTAGGTGGAGGAGGGAGGAGGAGGTGGAGTGGAGGTGGGGTGGAGTGAGGTGGGCTGAAGGTGGAGCAGGAGGTGGAGGTGGGGGTGGAGGAGAGGAGGAGGAGGTGGAGGTGAGGTGGGGGTGGGTGGGAGGTGGGTGAGGAGGAGGAGGAGGTGGGTGGGAAGGTGGGGGTGGAGGAGGAGGAGGGAGGTTAAAGGTGTGAGGTGAAGGTGGAGGAGGAGGTGGAGGTGGGGTGGAGGAGGAGAAGGTAAAAGGTGGAAGTGAAGGTGGAAGGAGGGGGTGAGGAGGGAGGAGGAGGTGGAGGAGGTAGGGGAGGTGGAGGTGGAGAGAGGAAGAGGCAGGAGGAAGAGAGGAGGAGGCAGAGGTAGAGGAAGAAGAGGAGGAGGCAGAGGTAGAGGAAGAAGAGAAGGAGGAAATGGGCATAAAGATCAAGCAGAAGGACGACACTGAAGGTGATGAAGTAAGAGGAGGCGGAGGAAAAATAGGAGAAAGAAAGGGGAGGGGCAGGAGGAGGAGGAGAAGAAGGAAGATGAAACAGGCAACGAATAAAAGGATGAGACGTAAGGATACTCAGAAAAAAAAAGAAGTAGACGAAGACGAGAGAGAACATTTCCTTGAAGGTACACCACAAGCAATCACAGCAAAACTACCTTCGTCCCATAGTGCATGAAGAAGCCGCCCAAGAAACGGTCCATGAGGAACATCTGGCCCAGCACATTGCCGAAGTTGAGAAGCTCGCACCCAAGGTAACCGAAGGCATATCGGTTGTTCAGACCCCACGATTCAGAGAGGTACCTAAAGAAGAGAAAAAGGAGGAAAAAGAAAATGAAGATATCGTGAGGTGAATCGTGCGTTTCATAGAAGTAATATAATCGACGAACACTTAAAAAACGCGTATACAAGAATAAAATCGACGAACACCTAAAAATAGAGAAATTGATGTTATTTCATGAAGTGAACACGCTTTGATAAATAACATAATCGGCAAACCCTTTTTTCTTATACAAGGAAGCAACAACATCTCACGACCACTCACTCGATGATATTCTTCTTCTTTTGCTCTTCATCGTCGTCAAAGAGACTCTTGTTGAGGCCTTGCAGGAGCTGGTCCACTTGCTTCCCTTCGTAGGACTTCCAAACCAAGTGAGGGAGGTAGAAGAGGATGCCCTGGGGGAAGACAGAGGGGTTAAGACACACTGGGAAATTACAAATGCCCAGTGTAGGTGTTCGGGTTTATATTACCATTTCGAATGTATATAGACTTGTAAAGTAGCAGAAAAATAGACGAACCATTCAGTCACCTTCAACATATTCAGCAAATTATTTCCATTTTCCATAACTAAACAAATAAACCTTATACTGATACACTCATTAAGCCTCCTATACTATCTGCTATGTTATGCCCACAATTCTTTCTCATTAAAGCGAACACCCAATTAACGCAAGGGCACTTACCTGTAGGAAGAGGACATGCGGAACCCACTGATAATATCCATGGATCCTTTTCTCGTGGTTCTGAGGATTGTA